AATAATAATAATAATAATAATAATAATATGTCTATATTAATGGCGACGCTCACACCAATTGGCTTACTTTTGCGCCTGGTCAATCACCATTTCACATTGTTACGTCTTCATAAAGAATAGGAGGGCGATGAACTCGCTCCTAGGACTTCAAAACATCGTACCGATTACGGTATGTATACGTTTCAAGAGATGCGTAAGTAAGTAAACGCTGAACAATCTCAATCAGGATTTTATACACCACTACCTTTATCAACTTCTATCTCACTCTCTCCATAATCTTCATCCCCCCTGACGCTTTTCCCATCACCATTTCCGCTGTTTTCTCCAGCCTCCTCACAGCGTCGTCGCCTCCGCCAGGGTTTCCTCCGTTTAGCGAATTACTCAAGAAAACTGATAAGAGAACAAGCAACTTGCTGAGCTTTCTTTATGCTCCCTTTAATCACGATGGGATTGCCACGGTTAGTGTCGTAGATTATGAAACGATTTACCTCAATCTTTCAAGAGAGCTGGATAAGGGCTGGCACGCAGAAATACGCTGGGGGAACGCAAATCTATGTCTCGGTCGTTGTGTGGATGCAACGTAATTGCCTGGTGGTTGGGAACTCGCAGTGTCTTCTACCCTGAAGAACGTATTTGCAGCGTTATCAGTGCTTCCTCGCCGACAGTCTTATTCCTTACTTCTGAGGATGCGAGGAACTGAATAGAGAAAGCAGACAAAAGAACGTAGGCCATTTTTCACAAAAGAAACCAGTTCCTACATCATTTCCGAAGCGCAAATTGTGGTATGTTGATATGTGAATTATAAGTCGTTAATGTTTGTACACATGATAATTATCTCTCGTTTTTCCAACGCGTGATCAGATTTGAGAAGATGCGATGTTTATTATGTCATCAACAAGAAATGCTGCTAATTAACCGCCGTGTTTCAATCAATCAAACCCTTTGAAAGCTATTGGAATCCATGCGCTCAATTAATTGCGCGGTATTGCTGTATATCCGAGAACAAAACGGACAGTGTTCTTGGGGATAACGGCCTCCGCGTGCAGGTGCTCCGTTCGTACCGTTTAGATGCAAGCGCTTTGCTTTTCCTCGCGGAACCGGTGACAAGCGCGAAGTTAACCTGTGCCCTATCCAATCAGAACAGCGAGAATAGTGTTGTGTTTTAAATGTCATGGGCAGAATCGCTCCTCGCCTCCGTAGTAAAGGACTCGAGAGCTGGTAGCCCTAGCGCCATAAACGTGATTTCGATAAAGTCGTGATGTAGTATTTTGTGGAGATAGGTTATCTAGTGTGAACTGGTGTCGCAGCGTGCTGCAATCCTAATGTAACTGTGTTACTCGTGCCAAGGTGGTAAGAAGCAGCAGCACGATGTGACTGGTGGTTGAGTGGGGAGTGGGATGTGTTCGTGACCCACATTTCATTGTGTTCATTACATCGCTGCTGGAACGACATCGGATGTTGTCATAGATATTTTTAGCGTTCTCCGAGTTATTTCTAGTTAATTTTTTCCCGCAAGGGCGTGATTGTGTAATTTCACTCTGTGCAGATCCGCGTTGATAGTTTACACTTAGTTATACAGGAGGTGCGTTTATAGGACACTATTTTCTAATTTTGTGTTTTGAAAACTATCTATTTAATAAATATAATAAAATAATAATAAAGATATTGGAATGAGACTAAAAATATTTTTGTTTTGTAACTTTGATGTAACAAGTCACCATATTACATATGTGGCTGTAATTTTGAAAAAGGCAACAGTTACGTAATATAGGATCCCATAAGTAACGGTTGTAATATGGATCAACGCAGAAAATTACAGACAAGTGAAGTTAGTGATAATATATTCAAACTGAAACAATGCAATTAAGTACTGAGAAGAACTCTTTGATTTAAATAATAAAGGCAATGGAAAAATGCTCATTTAACGAACATTTCTATTTTTGAACTTTATTCAAAACTAATCAAGATAATTAAATATGAAGAAAAATGAAGAAACCCGAAATATCTTTGGGGGGGGCAAGAGGAAGAGCAAAAATCGAAAGTGAAACTTTCCTTTTCATATGCAGCACAAACCATGGGCCACATCCACAGTAGATCTCTCACTTTACCAACAGTTCTTGAGACTTTGAATCTTTGAACTTCTCGCAACTCAAACATGCACTCAATTTCGTCTTCTTTTTCAGACGTTATTATCCTTTATTCATAAGTACCCGAAATATCTTTCTTGGGGGGGGGGGCAAGAGGAAGTACATAATATCATCTGAAGGCAAGCATGCACATGTCTCTTTATACTACCACCGTTAGTAATTATACCAATACATAGCATAAAAAAAATATTGTATAAGAATGTACAGAATCGGAGCAATCTGCCAAAAATGAAAACCTATTACCCACTTCTACTGAGTAATATAATGCTTTATCTTACCTGACTATTGATGAATTAAAATCAAACTCAGATGTTGCAAAGCGTGTTGACTTGTGCAAAAACGACTGACTCCAGTTCCAGACACAGCTCTCAACGAAACGACGTGGCGTGTTGCGGCGACGCTACTTTGTCGTTTGGAAACCTCATGACAGAACTGTCAACAAATAGCGCGAGCAGTATTGCAGATAAATCAGAGTCACATTTTCTAACCCTGTCCCATATATCTACCTTTCATTTACTGATTCATTAGATCGAAAGAATGTATTACAAGAAAAATTAATTGATTCGAAAAAAGCAGTTACGTTAATTTCTAAATTAAAATACCTCTTGAGACATGCTTCTCATAAATTATTTTCTAACTTCAAGCTACGTCTTAGACAATTTTAAACTAGTTTTTAAATTTAAAATTAAAATTTCATTCTACAGTGAACCCTCGTTAGTTCGAACTTGCTTAACACGAAATTCGTCCTCAAACGAACAAAATGTGGATCCCGCCAAAGAAAGGTAGTAATGAGGATATAACGTAAAAATTAGATAACACAAATACCGAAAAAAGAACACCGATTATTTCAATCCCTTGGAAATCGTGTTAACGAGGGTTTACAGAAATTTTGTACTTATTTCATACGCTGGTGAAGCTGTCTCATCTACGTTTCACGTAAAAATCTTTAATGAATGTTAGTGAATGTTAGTGTTGTTAGTGAGTGTTAGTTAGTTAGTGTTGAATATATACTGATATTACTTACATCAGTTCACCGCCAATACAGTAGCGAATAATTTTGAATTGATTTCCATAGTTTTATAGTTTTGCCTGTACATTTTGACAAGGAAGTTTGATGTAATGGTTGTGAATAATGCGAAAGAAATTCACTGAAAAAATAAAAAAAATGTGATGAGTTTGTCAAGGAACAAATCACTGTCTGGACAGACTGTCTGAAAGAATTTCTCACTAATTAATTTGCCATTGTTACAGAAAAACTCCTAAGATACGTGTACGTTCGTTTCTTGAAACTTTTAACTGCTTTTTTACTGCATGATTTCATACCTGAAATGCAGAACTGGTAGAGGAAGTGATGGTTATTTTCTCTTTTGTTTTTGGCAATTTCGTTCAAAGTTTTTTAAAATAATTTTCGTCCAATGGATATAATGAGTAACATATTTAAAAATTCTGAAATTATTAGTTCTTTGATTTTACTCTGCAATAAGCACAGGTCATTTTACTATCACGTATATTAATACCTAATGTAGAGAGAGTATTGTAATGCTATATCAAAAAGTGGAAATTTTTTTCGATAGAAAACAGAATGAATTTGGTATCGTCTCTGATACCAACAACTTGGATTTCTCTTGCTCTTCTTTGCAGTAAATTACTTTCTTTAATACGTCGGGTAGTCAGAATCCACGTGTTACGGATTCCTGATACCGAAAAATGTGTTTTCGACTGAACGTCTGTCCGCGCGGCTATCCATCCATTTGTTCGTCCGCCTGTCTCAACTGTAACGAAGGGAACACAGTTCCAATTTTTAGCTTTGCAATAATTCTTGAAGAAGAAAACCTGTAAGAGCGTAGGCTTCCGCGGCCGGTGTTAGTATCAATTGGCTGTCCGGGAGACTCCGCGTCCTAGGCACAGATGCCCAAGTTTCGGCCGCCAGGACCAATGTATCTCGCCCTGAAGAAGGTCACAGAATGTCGCCCAAACCGTTGGCACCTGCACCTAGGTCACGGCGTTTCCGGGACAGCCAATTTGTGAGAACCAAACGTCCCTAGTCTATAGAGGAGTTACCATTTTGACCAAGGGACCATTTTGACATGTCAGGCAACAAATGGACATCATGGAGTTAGGCGAGAGACGTTGCAAGAGATAGTGACGAAGCTATTTGCAAATGATCTAACTGTAAACGAACGCACCGACTAAACGAGTGCATGGACCTAATTAGCAGCAGTGGTAAAGCAGAATCTGCCAAAGCTGCCTCTTCTTAAGGCCTGTATACATGGTACACTTTTCATGCAGATTCTAATAAAGTTTCTGTACAGAATGATCCCAAACTAGAAGTATAATAGTCAAAAGTCGTTCATACATTGTCTGTATTTTGTCTGTATGAATCCCCACAAGACGCCACAAGGGGAGGGGTCTCCCGAGAAACAAATGAATTGCGCCGTTCGAGTACTTTCAGTGGAGATGCATGCGTTGTGGCTGTTCTTTATTAAGTATTAATTAACCATGAGGAGCATAGGGAAGAAAAATAGAAAGGCGGTAATAGGAAAAGAGGTAGTTTATAAAAGTGGTCGCCTCGAGTGAACAAATCCGTTAATGAACGATTCCGCCGCTAGAGGCGCTTCAGTCGAACTGTAAGCTTTCTGCATGAAAAAACACAAACATGCTCAAAGTTTTGGTGCAGAAATCGTGCAGCCTGGACGGCACGTTTTCTGTACGTCCAATGTGCACGAAAACCGTACCGTGTGTACCGGTCTCCATAGTAATGTGGCTGTTTCAGAGCCGCTGCTGCTGCGTCCGGGCGGGCCGCCGGGCGGCGCGGGCGCCCCCACCGCGCCCACGGCCCCCTCGGGCGCGCCGATGCGCTGCAACCTGCGCAAGCACAAGCCCAACCGGAAGCCGCGCACGCCCTTCACCACGCAGCAGCTGCCTCCCGCTGGAGAAGAAGTTCTGTGAGAAGCAGTACCTGTCCATCGCGGAGCGCCCGCGAGTTCTCCTCGTCGCTGCACCTCACCGAGGACGCAGTCAAGATCTGTGTCCAAAACCGACCGCCAAGGCCAGCGCCTGCAGGAGCCGAGATCGAGAAGATGCGCATGGCGGCGCGCCCGCTGTTCGGCCCGCCTACGCCGGGCTCGCCGCGCCACGCCCACCCGCACCGCGGCGGCTTCGCAGCGCTGCCCTTCTTCGCGGCCGTGCCGAAGCGGCGCGGCGGCGTCCCGGCGGGCGGCGGCGGCGCGGAGCGGCAGCGGGAGCGCGGCCCGCCCCACGGGCTCTTCGCCCACCACCAGCTGCTCGGGGCCATTGCCCCCGCACTGACCGACGGACCGAGCGCGCCCGCCGGGGTGGGCGTACGCTGTGTGAAGGGGGGGGCAGTGTTTGTATTTGGACTTGTGTCAGTGGACGGACGGTGAATACTGAGTTCGACTCACGAGTGGACACCACATAGTAAATGTGCTATTTGTGCTTTGTGAGTCTCCCTTCGCTCAACTAACTACAGGTAGTCCTTCAAATACAATGAAATGCTGTCAGAATATGTCATCTGTTGTGTCGTGCAAAATACGTGCACTGCTTTTATATTCATTGTAACATTTTCGTATGTCATGTTTCTATTTATTGAAAGTTGTTAAAATGTATAACTTTATACATTAGTTATCATATTGTATACAAAACAATTGATATAATAATCAGAAAACATCTGTGATACATTAACTACTGGCGACTCGTACTAGCGGTCATTTCAATTCATTGGTAATACCCATGTTTTTGTCTAATGATATAACTTTAATGCGTATTTCGTTTTATGTTCACGTCAACGTTAATTTAGGAAATTTTTGGCAATGGCTGATCATTGTGTGAATCGATTCAATTCGAGTGATCGAATGTTGAGGACTACCTGTAGCCCCCGGAGCGCTCCTGCCTTTGTTCCAAGAATGATTCTGAATTAAAGATGAGACTGCTTCGGAAACAATGTGCGAACTCGGTGGAAGCTAACCCTAACGATACTAAAGACGCTCAACAGTGAATCTTTGCGTATGAAATGATTTGTCGTGCGCTAAACCAGTTCCTTTTGGACTCCTGCGTCCACTTATTAATGTTTACAAGTATTTTCTCACTGTTTGTCTTTTACCTTGACACGTGCGTGTATGACTCTTGCAGTCCGTAAATTATGGAATAGGTTATGCGTAAAAGAATATTCGCAAAACATGAAATGCATTTCAAGAGAGGTATGTAGACGTGGAAAAAACTATATGATTATAAAACTGAAAAAAATGGAAGTATCTCAGAAAAATATTTCATTGTTACACGAAACAAATATAATACGACTTCCAAAATTTTTCACGTTCGAATGGTCCCTAGAAAATATTGCCTATACTGAGAACTCTAAGACTATTTATTTGACTGGCCTGCCAATAAAATTGTCCAAGGGCTCGCCCATAATAATTTAATAATCGCGGTACCAACATTATTATATAAAAACTTTTTAGTTTAATATTCGTTTAACTGAAATATCAAACATACCATTCGTAGATTGGTTACATATTCCTTTATATACGGATCTTGGTTATGTTATTTTGTGAATCTGTTATGTATGGACACCGGTACATGTTTTCAAAGATCAAAACAGAAACATCCTGTGATGTCAGTTCAGAAGTACGGTTAGAAGTACGTTCGGCAAACCTTCAATGAAAAGTATAATGTATAACATTACTTATTCATCCTGGCGATATTACAATGATATAAAAATAGCATGTGCTTGTAATGGAAAGTTTATTCGCTTTCAATGCTATTTGTAGTATCAATTTTCAAATTTATTTTGTGTTGTTTTCTCAAAAAATGTATTGGATAGAAAAGTGAATAATTTATTGCTAAATATTTAAAATAAATGAGTTTCTGTATTCTTTTGAATATATTCCTTTCAAGTAATAATTATTTGTTTTTGTATGATTCGTGTTTTTATTGACGGCGGCTCGCACTCAGATTGACTCATAAAATGAAGTCTGGTCACACACTCAAAGGGAATTCTAGTGATAATTTCGTGATTCGTTTCGTGATCACACCCAATTCCCAGACCTATGTGTGAGATTGAAGTGCTTTTGTATGATACATTTCCTTCAGCTTTATTCAAAGATATAGCGGAAAACCGCAATTCAAAAATAACATATTTTACTTTCCCATTTTTATTTCCTATAAATAGGATTTTCTTGTTTCGAAATCATTGAAGTTTAAGTATGGTATATTGTAATGTGACAATTTTGTATTTCAAGATTGAGGATGTTAGAAATCTTTTACAATCCACAACTCACTGAACTCGAGAAAAGAACTAAATGAGCATTTTTTGTTATTTCTTTTTTAGTTCTCATGAACTTCTTCATTGTTGTTTCTTTTTTAGTATCAAATAAGTGTCGCAGAGAATTCTATTTTCTCCAAAACTGTGTAATCAATGTTCTTTTCCCTATAAGAAACAAATTATTAATTGATTCATTAGGTCCAATGGAATATAGGATTCACATAGTCTATACATTTTTGAGTGTATTTCTCAAACAGAACAAATACTTCCCAATAATTGTTTCTTCTGAAAGAATACTTGGTTTCGACGCTAAATGATATTTGACAAAGTGTTAAATCGAGTGAAATATATTTATATTGAACCATTTTCACAGGTGCTTTAATAAACTCACTCATTTGTGTAAATCAGTGAAGTAAATGTGTCCTTATCTGATAAGTAGCAATCAGTGCACTCATTTACTTCAATTCAAGAAGACAGACTTGAAAGATGTACTAATGTGCACAACTACTGTCAAGAGAACCTCAATAAATCTCTTCACTTCACTCATTATGTAGCGTTATCTAAATTATTTGTATGCTCTTTTTACAGCCAACTCCTTGTTCTCCACCTCAAGAATGCGGAACGTGTTCTGAAACCAGTAATTTGCAAACACTTTTGGTCAAAAGCCACGACCACTTACCGCACATTCGATAGTAATTGGCGAGCCGTTACGCAGAATCTGGCTGAATCTCGTGCCGGGGAATAACTTAAAACAAACGCCTGGCAACACGCGGCCGCGCGCCTGTCCGCGCTCGCGATAGCGGAGGCAGCAACGCCCGCACGGGGCGCAGCGCCGCGCTCTGCCGAAAGTGGCTGCCGCACAGTGGGCCGTGTCTGATTTTGGCGGTCTTTAATATTTTGTTTCTACAACTAATCTAACTTAAATATTCTGTTTGACTGATTAGTGACACCGGGCGCGTAAAAATCTAAGGTAATTAGTCCCGTAAGTGTAGTTTATATTTCATCGCCGGAAGTGGTGGTATTCTTCCCTAGCTGGATGGCGAGATCCGCACCAGTCGGCTTAAGGGTTTCTTTCCTCAAGAAGGTATCTCCCACCAGCGGAACACCGCCCCAGCTGCAACAAGCTCTAAGCTCCCGACTGGCTCGCCCGCATGTGTGGTAATCAAGAGCTTATACGTGTGTGTGTGCATGTGTGTGTGAGGAGTGAAGAAAGGACAAGGAAGATGAAGGAAAGATCGCGCGTTTTCCTTGGCTCGTTTGATATGATACTGCTCTGGCATTCGCCTGGTATTGATCGGAGAAATCACGGAAAACTATTGATCACAGGCGCACGCCACTAGAATTATCCTGCGGTCAGCGGCTGAACTCAACATAGCTATGCAGCTAGTCAGCTATGCAGCGAAAACTCCTGCCACCGTCGAGAGTCGAACCCTAGAACCCCACGGTCAAAGGCACTGTAGTGACATCAATTGACATCCTGAGCCACGTAATCCGGTTTTAGTATTCAGGTTTGGGTTGGCAATTCAGATCATTCTTTTGATGGCAGGATAGTTTTAAAAAGGCAACAACACCAAAATGGACTTGACTAGTTTATGGGAGGGAAATAAGAAAATACAAACCGAGACAAGTTAAAAACTGGTTAAATAACAAATAAATGAAACTAAATGATTAAAATTGCGTAACAATGAAATTATATATCTACCACGAGCGTTAACAGGTTCTAATGATAATTAGAAGCCTTATAACGCCCTTGGTGCATAGCTAACCATAAAAACTTTTAAAAAGCTGTAAATCCTAAAGGTATAAATAACAAGCTTCTTATTAGGATTGCCAAGTACCCTTAAGGGGCATGCAAGAGCTAAAATTTAATAAATAAAAAAGGATGTTGATGTTTTAAAAAGTTCTGCGGTCAATCGCTAATTGGAATGATATTGTTTAGGTTTTACTGTTTTGAATACGGTGCCGGAGATTTGAATGTAAAAATACTGTCAATTGAATAATAAATTTTATAATAAATAATTTTCAAAGTATTGAATAATTATGCAATACTATTACGTTTATTTCGATAACATTTCAAAAATCATTATCATCGCAGAATGCAGTGTAAAAAACATTCCTTTACTTCTCCTACATACCATTCACATCTCTACGTCTCCTACATTACCCCCAAACCTGAAAAAAATGCGCTTTAGTTGTTACCGCCCCCACACACTTAACCTTGCCCCTTATTTCTTACCAGAAGGATCCGTAAAAATTGGTAACTTTCCAACTAGACGGTAGACACAACGAATTACAATTCTCTTGCCCTGACTGGACCCTAAGAGGTCTAACCGTTAGACGGCGCCATACATTCGGCCTTCGCCAAGCAGCAAGCTCCTACTCGCTCAATCCCTAACAGCTGATGTATTCGGCGAATGTTCGCTCCCTTTGATGTATCCAGAAGACCGACACGCGATGGGTAGGGGGCGAACACCAAATGTTCGTAGTTCGGCAAATAGCAAGCAACACTTCTCGAGATTCAGCGAGCGGTCGGTCGCTGTTCACCGAATGACTAATGAGTGGAACGGCCTTAACGGATACACAAAAAATACCAGATACAAACTTCAAATTTGCTTCCTGCTTCTTTTCTGACAATTTCATAAGAATATGTGAGCTAAGCGTCTAAAGTTTCTTTCCAACCGCGAAGCCCCGAGACCACCTACAGAAGTGGTTGAGGGCTCATTACGAAGTTGGGTATCTTCAACTTTTATGACTGGATGGGGTGCGCGATTATGCATAATTCGTACGCCAAATTATTCCCCAAATTGAATGCGTTTGACATCGAACACTTCTATAAAAATGTAATTTAAACAGTGGATCTGAGTAATACATAAATGAGTTCTGAATTTCTAATATTGAGTCGTTAATAAACACTGATGTTTCAATCTTTCCCTGCTTCAAATCTGAATTCAGAGGTGTTAGCTCTCCTAAGACTTCATTTACCTATTAGCAAATAAGCAAATTCTTGGCAAATTTCATAAAATATATTTTTTTAAAGTTATAAAATAAATAGTTTGTATCTGTAAAGTAACTGTTAATCAAATATTCTACCGTAATTTGTCTGTTAGTATTAATTGGTTCGTAGTACCATAGGTAACGATCTGAAGGGATTTTTTTGACAGGTGAATCCCAAAGTAATTTTGTGCTTTGCACAAAATTTTGTGCTTTGCTTTTTAGGGCAAGGGTGGCGCGGGATGGGGGGGGGGAGGCTCGCGGTAAGTAAACCCGGCTCTGTGTAGAGTCTGTTGCGAAGAGGAAGTATTTCGTATTTCGTCCTACCACCGGACGCATGCGACGACGGCGCGGAGAGGGCGGTGGGGAGGTGGGAGGGGCGACGTGGTGCTAGCGTTGCGTGCAGCGTCGCAGCCGCCCACACGGTCCGCGATGGGCTATCGGGGCTCGTCCAAGAGTTTTTTTTTCTTTGTTTTTTTTTCGACAAACAACTAAAGCATCTGGACAAATGAAGCACGAGGGAAGCGTGCCTATGCAATTTAGTTCATATATTTTTCTTCATTATATATTAATAAATAGGGGACTTAAACAAGGATGTAGTTTATCTCCAACACTATTCAATATATATATATTTGATGACCTTTATTAAAAAATGAGATGCATAGCTAGTTCTGGAATACAGTTGAAGCAGAATAAACAGCCTAAACGTTCTACTTATGCCAGTGATGTTACAATACTGCAAGAAAGTGAAGATGATTCTGCAAAAAGCTGTATACACACTGCATCAACTGGGAAGAAAGAGTATAATCTCCGAATTTCTAAAACGAAGACTAAATTATGGTCCTTGCGGTAAATACCCCATACGCTCAAAATAGTTTTATGACAACACAGTGATCGACAGACTTCAAATTTTAATTACCTTGGTTGTGACACTTAGTTATGACACAGATAAAGACGTAGAAAATAAAACTAATAAATTTCAATCAATATGTGAATAATAACAGAACACTACGAACAAAGCAAGGAAAGACACAAAAATGAAGTTCTATAAGACAATGGCTGCTCCAGTTCTCCTGTATGGAAGTGAATCGTGGATAATGAAAAAAAGAGACCAAAGTAAGCTCCAAGCAGCAGAAATGAGATTTCTTAGGAAAGTTAAAGGCTGCATAAAACAAGACGAGATAATAAATGAGGACATCCGTAAAGACTGATATATACAACATAAATGAAAGGATCGTAAGAAAACAGGAAGAATGGCGGCGCCATATGAAAGAATGGAAGAAGATCGTATCACAATTAGTGATGACTACGCACCCGAAGGGAAGAAGAGTTATCGGCGACCGAAAGAGATGTCAAAAAATAAAAAAAAAAAAAAAAAAAAAAAACAATGTGCAGAGCGAAGACGGAACAGGCACTTCTGCCTAATCTGAAATGGAGAGAAGAAGAAGATATTTTTTCTTCTAGCAATGCAGGGAAATAAGTCTGCTTTTCTGTTGTTGTTTGTTGTTTTATGGTGTAAAATTCATTGGAAATTTTATGTTCGCTGAACTCGAGTATGTCGTATTTCATCGCGGGCACGATGCTTCGAATCCTGACCGTCGACTTGAAAATGCTCGTATTCAAATTGGTGATTTTTGCCTAACTTTACTTTACGTAATTACTTAACAGCACAACGTTTGAATTACCACCTAACGCATTCTAACGTGTTCCACATAGGCATTCACTTTAGCTGTTGGCAATAAATTTCGCGCCCACCTCACTGAGAGCACCTGCCAAACTGGATGTGGGGGAGGAGGGAGAGTGGACCGACATGTGCTCCAGCGGCTTTCCCTCTCCAGCTCCTGGCGAGCTCTTCAATAAATGCTTGTATAACACTGAACTCACTACCTAATTATCATGGGAACTATCATTGTCGTCGACATTGGCAATGTTATTGGCTCTGTTACCGCTAACACAACACTAGGCTGTCAACGCTGGCACAACACTATGATTTTTCAATGGCTGTGGCACCGACAAAGAACTCCTGTACCACTTGAAAAGCACCATATGGTGATAGCACCTCAGTACTGGCAACAATGACACTACAAAACAATATCTCCCTTTTCACCTCAATAACTAGTCATTGCACACGAACAGCACCCAAGAGGTTCCCAATGGCACCTGGAAGGCCCTCCATTGTCACCTCAATGGATCCCAACTGCAGTCCACTGGTTCCTCCCTGACACTTCAGTCACTGACACAGGTAATGTAACATTACCGTACTCATTTGTCATTGCCTACTCCAGCCGCCTTCAGCTTGACA